CAAAAGGGAACATTACTACACTACTGGTAGGAATGTAAACTTGTTCAACTACTCTGGAAAGCAGTATGGAGGTTCTTCAAAAGACTAAACAAACATACAGTGTCTCTATGACAGCAAATCCATTCTTGGGGGTTTATCCTATAGACCACGAACAAGTTTATACTAAAGCTACCAGCACAACCATGTTTACTGCAGCTAAGATATGGAATCAATCCATATACCCCTCAGTGGAAGAATGGATCAAGAAAATGTGGTATATATACACAATGGAATTCTTTTTTAAAAAATAATTTATTGGGATTAAGTAATTATATAAATTTCACAAATTTCACAGTGTTGTAAGATAGTGATACTTAATAGTTAAAGTCACAAACACATTTTAACCTTCACGAGGCAAACTGTCATTATCGCGGTCTATAAAGTTTGTGAATTAGCCGGGCACTGATGGCTCACATCTCTAATCCTAGCTACTCAGGAGGCTGGGATCTAAGGATTATAGTTCAAAGCCAGCCGGGGCAGCAAAATCCAACACTTAGCTTTAATAAGTTTCTTAAGATTTAGAAACAAATTTAGAAAATAAAATGATTAAGAGGACATTCCACAAAATGGCAACTATAAAGAAAAGAGGGATGGTCATATTTATACCAGAAAAACTGACTCCACATCAAAACTGTCAAAGGAGACAAAAAGAGTTTTATGTCATGATAATCAGGTCAACTCACTAGGAAGATAAAACAATTATGAAAATCTTTTTTTGGGGGGGGGCGGGGGGGAGGTCCGGTCGTGGGGCCTGAACTCTGGGCCTGGGTGCTGTCCCTTAGCTCTTCAGCTCAAGGCTAGTGCTCTACCACTTGAGCCACAGTGCCACTTCTGGCTTTTTTTTTTATGCTTATGTAGTGCTGAGGAATCGAACCCAGGGCCTCATGCATGCAAGGCAAGCGCTCTACCACTGAGCCACCTTCCCAGCCCCAATTATGAAAATCTAGAAATTTTATATCTACAAAATAAAGAATCCCAAAGTTAGCAGAAAAAAGAAGAATACAGAAGAAGTAACAGAAGAAACAGCAGAAGAAATAATTGGGATTAGAGCAGAAACAAATGAAATGAATAAAAAACAAATAGAAAAAAAATCAGGAAAACTAAAAATTTGTTTTTCACCTGCAAAATTGACAAAACTTCAGCTAGACTAAAAAAAAAGTTAAGAACGCTTAAAATCAGATAAAAAATACTACAATTGATGCCAATAAAATTAAAAGGATTATAAAAAACTACCAGAACAATTATACAGCATACTTTGGGCAATCTAGAAGATATGGATTACTAGAAATATATAACCTGCCAAGGCTAAATTATAGAGAAACAGAAAATCTGAACAGGTCCATACTGAGTAAGAAGCGTAAATCAGTACTGAAAATCTTACAACAAAGATAAGCTGAGAGTCATTGCTTTACTAGTGAAATAATTCTATTAAGTTAATCAAAGCCAACACTTCTCAAATACTTCCAAAAAACTGAAGAGAAGGAAACACTTCCAAAAATTTTTTATGAGGCCAACATGATCCTGATACTAATTCTGGAAAAAACAAAACACTGAAAGAAAATTACCAAATTATCATATAATACCCTTGATGTACACAGATCTTAAAATACTAGCCAAAATGCTAGTACATTGACTTTAATAGTATAGTAGAAGGATCATGCACCCAAAGCAACAAAGCCTTATTATTAAGGACAGAAGAAGAGATCAACATATGAAAATTAAACAAGGTGACATACTACCTAGAAGGATAAAAATTTATATAACTACCCTAAGCAATGCAGAAACAAACTTACTCCACAAATAAATAGATGAGACATGGTCACATCTTTAAATACAAGATTTAATATTATTAAAATGTAGATTTAATGCAGTGTCTAATAATGGCATTTTTCCAGAAGAAAAGCCAATCCCAGATTTCATAAAAAAAAGTAGTCATGAAAATCAAAACAATCTTTAAGCAATAATTATTTCTAGAGCACTCACATGATTGATTTTAAACATAATAAAAAGCTACAGTATCAAAATAGCATGGTACTAGAATAAAAGCAGAAAAAAAATCAACAGTTTTCTCAAATGGCAAACCTAGTGAAAAGGAAAAAAATATTTGTAATATCTCTGATAACTTGTTAAAATTCTTAATTCTGTAGCAAATTTAAAAAAAGTGCAAAAAACAAAACCACACCTGTTTGCAAAAGCAACGACTTGAACAAACATTATTCTAAAGAGAACATATAAATGATAAGGATTAGCTGGGCACTGGTGGCTCACGCCTATAATCCTAGCTACTCAGGAGGTTGAGAACTAAGGATCATGGTTCAAAGCCAGCCCGGGCAGGAAAGTCCGAAAGTCCGTGAGACTCTTATCTCCAATAAGCCACTAGAAAACTGGAAGTGGTGCTGTGGCTCAAGCATTAGAGCGCTTGCCTAATGGGACAGCGCCCAGGCCTAGAGTTCAAGCCCCACAACCAAAAAAAAGATAAGGATTGTTAAAACATTGTTCAACATCACTATTATTAGAAAAAATATAAATGTGATAATAAGTTTTATAATAAAACATATTATATATATATGTGTATGTATGTATATACATACACACTTACTGGGACTCATTTTTTGGCCCAAGCTCCTAAAACCCTCAGAATCTGCTGATTGCTAATAACTAAGTGTCTTTTGTAAGCTATTGTGATGATTAGTGGTAGGTGTCCCTAGATCATTTTAGGATGGAGAATTGGTAGCCATAAAAATCAAGTCAGAATTTACAATCCTATTCTACAACCTCTCTGGAGAAGAGGTGAAGGACTAAAAGGTGAGTTGCTTATCATATACCAATGATTTTTATCAAACATACTTAAATAATTAAACCTCCATAAAACCCCCCAAAGGGGTCCAACAACAATGGCTCAGGCCTATAATCCTAGCTAGTTTCAAAGCCATTCTGGGCAGCCAAAACTGAGAAACTCTTATCTACAATTCACCAGCAAAAAGAAAGCTAAAAATGGAGGTGTGGCTTGAGTGAAAAAGCCAATCCAGAATGCAAGACCCATAGGTTTAAAGCCCAGGATTGGTAGGGGTCGGGGAGGGGAAAAGGAACAGAACACAACAGGAAAAAAAAAAAAAAAAAAAAACTAAACTAAAAGGGCTGGGCTGAGAAGAGCTTCTCAGTAGCTGAACAGATGGAGGTTCCTGGAGCGCAATATGCCTGTAGAGGGCATGGATGCTCTGACCCCTCTCCCATATCCTGCCCTGTGTTTCTCTTCCATCTGCCTGTTCATCTGCATCCTTTATAATGTCTTCATGATTAATGGGTAAATGCAAATAAAATGGCTCCCAAGTTCTGTGACCTACTCTGGTGAATCATTCTAACCTAAGGAGGGGTCATGGGAACCCCAGATTTGTAACTGGCTGGTCAGAAGCATAGGGAATAATCTACCAGCTGTGACTGTCATCTAAAGTAGGAGACAGTCTTGTGGGACTAATCCCCAAACTGTGGGATGTGAAGCTATCTCAGTGCAGTGTCCTATTAGAATGGATTAGACCCCATACTGGCCAGTGTGGGGTCACAGAAGTGTTCTTTATTTGGTATGAGAGCACAGAGTAGAAAAACAGTTCTAGCTTTTCTTATTTCTAATATGAATCAGAACCACAGCTAGTTCTCAGTCTCTGTTAGGATGGCTATTAAACAAATAAAAAATAACAAGGGCTGATGAGGATGTGAGGAAACCGAAGCCCTATGTCCTGCTGTGGTGATACAAAATGGCAGAGTCATTTTGGAAAACAACATGGAGGTTCCTCACTACAATCCAATGCATTCATCACTCTTTACAGCATTCAGTGCATCATTCACAGCAGCCAAAGATGTGGAGATAATATTAAGTGTCCATGAATGGAAGAACAAATACAAAATACGAAATATACATTAAAAAAAACACTGAAACGGAGGGAATACTGAAAAGGATAGAGAGCTGAAACATTCTATAAAATTCTACATGATTCCCCTTGCATGAGTCACCTAAAACAGTCCAACTCAGAGAACCAAAGCCTAAGGATAACCTTGAGGAGCCGAGGAGGGGGATGAATGGAGAGCTGCTCTGGAGAGGTTCAGCCACGCAAGAGCAAAGTTCTCTAGATGTGTTGTACAGCATTGCAGCTATAGTACAATATGTGCCATTAAAAATTGCTATCATTATATTTAAATTTAAAAATTATAAGGACAAATCTCATGTTTTAGCAAATATGCATACGCACATACAAATCTGTGCTTTGCTTCCTCTTACCCCTAATTTGATTCCTGTATCTTTATAGGGGGTACCAGAATTCTGTTGAGCCCTGGGAAATTTTCAGAAAACAATTCCATCAACATGCAACTTTCCTTTTTCTACTCATGTAGAGCTGCTCAGGAACTACCCTCCAATGAACCAGAAACAATAAACTGAATCCCAAATCGATTTCCAGATTTGGAGACTGAAAGAACAAATCCTGACAGGGAGGAGAGAGGTATAGTAATTTGGAATACATCCATTTGCACTGCAGGTACAAAGATTTCAGGACTCAACGAAAACACATGTGTCTAATTGTAAGTAGGTTTGAAACTAAGCTAGCAAGAATCAGGATATAAATGAAAGCTGAAACTATAGTATAAATACCTATGGAAACAGATGCTGACACAAGTCTATATTTGCACCTGCTAGATGAGGTCTAACTTACCAACTTACGTTCCATACTTCTTTCTAAACAAGAGAACATGGCCCATCCATTCTTTTGGTTGTGTGTGTATATGTATACTCCACAATAATTTGTTCACCAGAAATATGGACACACATGAACACACACAAACTTTTAAGTATCAATTAAATAGTCTTATGAATGTTTGGTGCAGCATTTTTTTTAAAACAAAGTATTGGGTTACTTTCAATTATCGTTTCATAAAATTATGTGATTTATTTTTATCCATTGTACTTTTACCTTTTGCAAGTAAAGGACAGTTCCCTTCAGGACAGCATAAAAGGTTTTCCATCCTCGCTTTCCTCTTGGAGCTAAAAAAGAAAAAAATATAAACTTTTACTTGAAAGAAATGAACATTTAAAAAATGAACACTTTAAAAGAAAAATATAAAGCATCAGTATAATGATTGTTTCTCAATATTTTAATTTATTAGCTATCAGATGACAATGAGAATTAAAATTTTCTTGAACCTTATGGTATATGAGGTAATATTATAAAACATTTTCCATGAGTTTTCTTAATCTTTATAATAATTCTGCCAAATAGATGTGAGGACTCTCCTCTTTTTACAAAACAGAAGCAAAAAGAAATAGCCTCCTCATGATCATACAATTGGGGAGGACCACTGAGAAAACGAATCCAGTAGAAAGGCTCTACCCTTTCCCTTCCAGATGATTTACTAACTGGGAAGGCAAAAGGGCTGACATATTACTTCAAGAGAAGGGCTAGATTGTGAAAGGACTGCTCAGCTTTTTCTCCCACACCCTCCTGAGTGGATCACAGCTTTAATTGATGTCATTCCTACAGATCTGACACAGATACTGTCACGACTTCTTCTCCTAAAGGACTCTTTCCCTAGAATGTGAATGACTTGGGAGTGAGCATCGTTCATTTTCACAATTCACAGGGCCTACCCCAGTGCAAAGCAGATGTTAACTGCTGTAAAGAAGATTGCTCAAGTTAATTAATGGTTTCAGAGGTCTCTTATATTCTTTTTGTTTTGCTAGAATATAAAGAATTTCTCCATTTGCTTAATAAATGCCTACTCATTTTTTCAGACAAAAATACAGATTACTAGAAAGGAGATGGGAGAATGTAGAAGAGTTGAGGGGAGAATGCAGCCAAGAATCCAATAGACAGCTTACAAAGTTAAGAAAAATGAATGAATGAAGGGGGTGGGGATGGGTGAGAATGTTGACAGAGGTGACATTTATCAAGACACATTGTATTCATAGACTGCTTTGTTAAATGGCACAACTATTTACAGATAGTAAGAAAAAGAAAAAAACATGAGTTTATATTCTCAAATATGTATATCATGTGCTTTGATCATATTCACCTTCTCACTACCTTGTCTTTCCCTGATCATCACTTCAAATGGTCCCCCATTCCTTTCCCTGAGGTGTTTCCTCTTGCTACTTTCATGTCATTTTTATTTTTCACCTAGATTCTGCATATGACAGAAAACACGCGTTACTTATTTTTCTGAGTCTGAATCATTTAACATGCTGATCTCCAGCTTCACATTTTCAAGTAAATGAAATATTTTTGTTTTCTTAATGTCTGAGTAACACTTCACTGTGCCTACCTACTACATTTTCTTTATCTACTCATCCATAGTTTAGCTATCATGAATAGTGCCATGGGTATAGGGGTATCTCAATCGTATGCTGAGTTTACTTCATTCAGATATATACTCAGGGGTGAAAGTGCAGGATCATATAGCACTTCAGGAACATCTACACTGTCTTCCATAGTGGCTAGTTTACACTCCCATCAGGAGTGTATAAGTTACCTCCTGCCTACCCCCAGCATCCTTGCTGACATCTGACGCTGCTTCCAATTATCCTTAATACTAATAAATTTAAAATATGCAACTGGAAAATGTTGTCACCCAAATGTCGTTTTCCTAACCATATTAGTTCAAACATACAGTGGAAGTCATTTATTCCTTTCTCAAATATTTGGTTGTCTTTAGGGCCTCTGAAACTTGGATACCTGACTCATTTAGGAAGTATATTATTCTGAAGCAAATTCTTTAAATGCCATTTGAATGAGTTCTCGGAACTCATGGGCTTGGAGGGCAGGTGAATACCCACCTACAGAGCCCAAGTTTGCCAGCACCATACTGAGAGCCCACCTGGCAAGCAAGGCTTCAGCACATCGGCTCTGCAGGCTTCCAGGGAAAGAAAAAAAAAAAAAAACAAAAAAAAAACGGCATCCCTTCTGTTCCCACTAGGTGAGATTTAAAAGTGTCTCCTCCATAAAAAATATATATACCTAATTGCCTTCATAAAGGAAGTATCTGTCCAGTATGAAAGAAGTCTACAGATCAAACATATAAAGAGGTAAATTCACTATACTGCCCAATGAAGGCAAAGTCTGATGTTACCTGCATGAGAGCTGTACACACAGAGGTGAGCCTAGGCTGTGGGAATTGTCAGAGCTCAGGGCCAGAGACCATGGGGTGTGGTGGAGGCAGCAGACAGGAACACAGACCATCTGGGTTCCAAACCCTTCTACTCCTTGCCTTAACTCAAACCTGACCTCACACCCACTGGGTGACTGGTAACTCTTGACAAGTCATTCAAGCCCTCAGGACTTGAATCCTTCAATTCAGAATGTGGGTACTTCACATAAGTTAAGGTAAAGCACTGGCTAAGTATGGAAAGAAGACTTTAGAGAAAATCCTGTCATTTCTACAGTAGAGTCATGGGTCCTGCTGCTGAAGAGCTTTCCTTGTAGCCCCAAAATTAGGTTAGTGGGATCCTGAGGTCCCTTCAGCTCAAAAATCTGCAAATCTATTTACTTTTATCATTTCCACATCAAGCCTACTGGAAACAGGTTCCACAGAGCTCTCCATGTGAAATGTGCATTGAGCATCATACCTGACAACAAATGCTAAATCACTCTCTCTTTCTCATCTTCTACAGACATGTCAGACTTCCTCCTGACTTTAGTCAGTAACAACTGAACTAAGACAGGAAACAGCCCTCCTAATAAGACATTCAAGAAGTGAGGATGCTCCAGTAGACAGCATGCTACAAAACTGTGCCTGCAGGGCTTTGGCATGGGTTGATCCATTCATCCACATTTGGGTATACTTACTTTGAGAATGATAAGGGAAAGTTACTACTACCATCTCCATTTTACACGAGAAGGTTGGCATAGACAGTGGACTTCAGAGAAGTGAGCAGTGGGCACTGGAATAAGCTGGGAGGTTCTCCAGAGGCAGGCTCAGCTGCTCTGTACACACACACACACACACACACACACACACACACACACACACACACACACACACACACACACACACACACACACACACACACACACAGAGCGCTGCTACTGAAGCTGCACACAGTGAGGCACATAATGGACTAGACAGACACCAAGCAATGAAGACAGAGCCTCAGAATGACAATAGTGGTGCGTGGAAAGTGATTTAGGCACACCTGGTTTATACAGTGCATACAGGTGGATAAAGGAGTCTTAACTGCAATTACATGCAAACACCATGAGAGGCATGAGGTAAAAGGTTACTGACTTATAGGAAAGTCAATGGATCTGACTGGATTTAACTACAGGGGTGGTAGGAAGTTTATGAAGTATCCCAGATAGTCACTGTGATAAAAGTGTTCCTGTAACTTAATTAAACAATGACATGTTTATGTTCTCACAGTGGTTCTTAATATTCTTTCAATCCCAAAGATAATGGATTACTTTCCTTCCTGAAAATATAAGAGCCTTGAATGTTTTCATTCCAGTAATCTGCCTCCAACCTTTCATGATAGCAATGTCAGTTACTTGCCTTTTTAAAAAAGTGCTACCAGAGGGCTGGGAAGGCTCAGTGGTACAGCGCTTGCCTTGCATGCCTGAGGCCCTGGGTTCGATTCCTCAGCACCACATAAGCAGAAAAAATAAAGCTGGAAGTGGCGCTGTGGCTCAAGTGGTAGAGTGCTAGCTTTGAGCTGAAGAGCTGAGGGACAGCGCCCAGGCCCAGAGTTCAGGCCCCACGACCGGGCCCTACCCTCCCCCCCCCCCCCCCAAAAAAAAAAAGTGCTACCAGACTGGTGCTACTAGAGCTAGTGGCTCACACCTATAATCCTAGCTACGTACCAGGCTGAAACCTAGAAAATGGTGGTTTGAATGCAAAATTCTATTTCTAAAATAACTGGCATTAAGCTGGCTGGGTGCATGGCTCAAGTCCTAGAGTGCCAGCCATGAGCAAGAAAGCCAAATGAGCTCCAGGCCCTGAGTTCAAGCCTTCAGCTGGAGTGTTGCTATGAGACCGGGGAAAGGGACTGCTAAAATCATCATTAAAAAATAATCTGCTACTGTCTGTTGAGGCCACCCTCATTTTATTTTTACTTTTATTTGTCACTTCTTTGTACCTCAGATTTTTCTTAAATGCTTCAAATCTTACTTCTTAATGTATACTCTTACAAATTCTGACTTTAGGAATGGTCTTTCATAATTTGTTAGATTTTTTTTGTGTTCCATAAAAGCATTTTAAGAAACTTGCAGGTTTTGAGGGTGAGCAAAGGGAGGGGCACGTGAATGGAGGAAGGGTGAGCAAATGTAGTCATTATATTCGACGTATATTATGTAAAAACTGAACTATGTAACGTGAGGGTAGGGCTGGGAGGGGGAAAATGGTGGAGAACAAAGGAAGCAGTAGCATTAACCAAAAACTGATTTATGGATTTGTAACCCTTTTGTACAACTACATAATAATAATAATGATGGTAATAATAATAATAATAAAACTTGCAGGTTGGTAACAATTTTTTACTTCATTACCTCTTGACTACCCTTATTATAGGGTATGTCTACCCTGAGTTAAAAATTATATCTTCTCAGTATTGCTTTCTTTTAGTTTAACACTCTAGTGTTCTTTGAGTATCATTTAGAAACTCTGTGGCAATTTTATCTGTGAAAACTGTTATCTTTCCTCATCACCATTACCATAACCTTAGGACATTCCCCTCTGACTTGTCACTTACTTTCACACGTCTTAACTACTCCTTCATATTCTTCATCTCTTTGTCCTTTGTTGCTAAACACTGTAGGATGTGATGTCTAGCATTAGTTGACCTTCCTAATCTAGAATTTCTTGGAGGAGCACCAGATTAGCCCACTTCCTGTTTTATTTCTGGCCTCATCAGATTTCTCTTTGATTGTTACAGGTTTAGCCTTTACTTAAAAGATGTTTAAAAACATTTCCATACCACTTTGGATATTTTATGATGTGGAGCTCAGGATCTATAGGCAATCATGTTGTGGGAAACAGATTCTCTAGTTTTCTTTA